AGATAGAAGGGCGGGAAGAAGGGGAGGTCAGAAGGACAGCCAGATCTTGAAAGTCATGTGAAGACTTGATCTTCCATCTGAGAAAGATGGGAAACCATGTAGAGTTCTGAGTGGAGGGCTGGCAAGTGTGAGACACATTTTTTTAAAGTAAGTCTGGATGTATTGTAGAGCAAGGAAGTCAGTTCAGCAGGCATTCAAGAAGTCAAGCAAAAAAGGGCATGGACCAGAGTGTAATTGGGAGTGTAATTGTGGGAGCAGTGAATTTATGATAAACATGAGGGGAAAATCAAGGGTACTATGAGAGTGGAGGTTATCCTAAACTTACTTACTGGAAAACCAACTTATCATATACAGAGATGATAAAGAGTGTAAAACAAACAAGTCTAAGGGATAAAAGGGAAAGTTCAGTTTGGAATATCTGGGGGTTGATTTTGCCTTTAGACATACAGTAGAAAAGTTGAATAGTCAGTTTGTGGTCCCCTCTGAGATCAGTAAGTCTGAAGGTTAAGACTAAAGTTGTCAGCAGATGAATGGATGGTATTTAAGATTCAACAGTAAATCAATCCTCCTGATGATGATAATGATTTAGTGCATATTGAGAAGAAACAGATCAAGGATTGATGCCTGGGCTACTTCTTTATTTGGAGGTTGAGGCATTAGGAAAGATGATACGCGCACATGGAATATGAGCTCATACTAAGAGAAAGTAGGCCTAGGAATCCAAAAGTAAAAAGGAAACGGTCAACAATGTCAGCTCATTGACTGGATAGGTCAGGTAAGATAAAGGCTAAAAAAAGTCATCAGATTTTACAATGGAGAAGTCATGGAGAGCTTTTTTTCCTCCCTAGCTTTACTGAGATTGAACTGATACGAAATTGTGTACAGTATACAATGTGATGACATTACACACACACACACACACACACACACACACAATACATATAGCATATATGGAAAATATTTTTCATAGTAGAGTGACTTAGTATTTTCTTCACCTCACACAATTTCCATTTTGTTGTTACTGTCATGACGGAAATATTAAAGCTTTTCTCTCCAGTATCTATGAAGCTTGCTGTATTATGTGGTTAACTGCTGTCAATGTAACTTATTCACCCTTGTAATTTATTCATCATATTGCTAAAACTCCGCACCCTTTCACTGACCTCCTCTCCTGCCCCTAAATCATCATGGTCCTGACAGAGTGGTGTCACAGCAGGGTACTAAAGCAGGCTTCAGGGCAGCCAACTCAAAGATGAGGTGAGGAAAATGAGGTGCTGTCACCCTTGGTAAACAGCAAATATAAACATGCTCTAAAGGATTTTAGACTGGAGTGACATATAGAAGATGAAGATTAGTGTATGTCTAGATATATGTATGCTAAAAATGACCCAAAAAGAAAACTGATACTACAAGAGAGCTTAAGGTCTCTTTTGCACTCAGGAGAACCTTAAAACTGAAATTCAAACAAAGTATATCTTCTTTGGTTCCACTAAGCTAAGTTCCCATTTTGTCTTGGGAAGTATATTTATTCATGTTCATTTTTTATCATATACAAGTATACCCAAAAGCTGCTACATATACATACTTCTATGAAAAATATTTCTAATGGAGTCATAGTAGGAAGAAAGTAAACGGTCAAAACTCATTGTCTTTCCTTGCCACTCTCACTTTCATAGTTCTCCATTTAAATACTGTGTATATTCTTATGGTCCTAAATATCAGCTAAAATATTATGCTTTGGGATTAATGACACTGCATTTCATTGCCATGTTTGATTATTTTGATTACATTAAGATAAAAATGATATGTGAAAAGTGATTCAAAATAATCTACTTGGAGAGAAGAAGAGGAATTTTGTGGGTAAAAAACATGGCATAACTTGCCCTTGACTTATTAGTATCGAAGCTGCATTCTGGGTGTGTGGCAATTCCTTACTTACATCACGGTGTTTGACATTTTCCATGATATCGCTGTCACTGTCCACTGTCCTCCTGTTGTTCTTCAATTTGCTTGAGCGGGCCCAGTAACGTCTCCATTGTGAGACTTGTTACTGTGTTTGGCATATCAAATATGTCATGGGTAGCTTGCCAGGCTTTGCCTTGCGGGCGAGATACTCTCGGTAGCTTGCCGGGCTCTCTGAGAGGGGCAGAGGAATCGAACCTGGGTTGGCCAGGTTGGCCACGTGCAAGGCAAATGCCCTACCGCTGTGCTATGGCTCCATGATATAAGGTTAAAAAATTAAAAGAAACAAATGGCCAGCACATGCTCACTACATTAAATGATACTATTTCTGATAATTTGGTAACTCAAAAAGGTGCTATTTGAAGGTACAGAAATTTTTCTGGCATTTAAAAAATCTTATCAGGTACTTTGCTTTCATACGGGCAAACACAGATTAGTTTTCAACTAATCGGGTCATTTCTCTGTTTCTTTAAGATATAATTAATTTGGATACTCATTCTGGAAAGCTGGATTTTTTTTTAATGAAGCTTTCATTCACTTAGCTATATTTTCAGTTTTTAAGTAACTATGAAGATTTTTTTCAGTATACTTTATGAAGAATGTTTTGAGGTAAAGTTATTCTATACAAATAGTTGATTATGAACAGAAAAAAAATTTCTCAACTACTTTTTAAAATAAATTCTTAAAATGTTCAATCCCACTATAGATTAAAAATACTAACGACCTTAAAAACTAGCAAAGATAGAAACAATAGTGTTACATCATTAACTCTTCAAATATTAACCGTTAGGTATTCTTTAGTATATCTCAGTAACACATTAACCATTAACCATAGTATTATTGTTTCTGTAATTGCCGTTAATTTCCACCAGGTAAAGGTGAAAAACCAACCCCAATCATTTTTTCGAGGTCAGAAAAACATTCAGATTATATTAACAGCACCCCTGCCTGTTCACTACATAATCATCATTAAAAGTTTAAACTATATTGGCAAACTATAAAATCTACTTCAAAAATTAAACCCAAACATAAGTTCTTCTTCAGTTTACAGCTTCTTTTATATGGCTTTATTGCCTTCAACTTGTTCTTGGTGTAAACTACTGAGCAAAGAAACAAGATTTCCATTGTAATTGATACCTAAATTTCTATTCCCCTTTAAGCATCTAATTTGCACTGTGAAAACATATAATTTGAGATTTGTAGCTCTATCACCAAAGTACAACAGTTTAAGCTGATCTCTAATTTTCTGAGTTGTGCTGGCTATAATTTAAATTTTTTGCATGTTTTTAACTGCAATGCAGACCAATATACATCAAAAACCTTTGTATATTGACAGAGACTGGGAAAAGGATGCCTTGTTCTGATTTCAGATAAGCATTCCCTTTTCAAAACTGCAGGTGCAAGGGAGCCCATTCATAGTACTTGCTTCAAACTAAAGGAGTCACTGATTTGAATTACAATGCTAGAATATGAGAACATATCTAATCTTTATAAGCACAATGAATATTAAAAATCATCATTATTAACAAATTCTAAAGACACGTTGGATATTTGCCTCTGTATTGGGGATAATATATCCAATTTTGGTCATTTTACTCATATGTACGTGTTAACTAAATTTCAAAATGTCACTTGTTAACACAGGATGGAACTGCACCAGGTGGAAAATCTGTTCATTCTATTTAAAAGATTACTGATAATGAACAAGGAATTTGTTTGTCTTAAGTTTCTTTTACTTTGAAATTAATATATAGGCCCCCCAAATGCCACAAGAAAAAATGTACTGATTGCTCTCATTTTACTTGTGCAAATCTCACTGAAACAAATATTGACAGCTAAATCTATAACAAACAAACTGCTGCAAAATTGTATGTTTACATGAATAATTATATATAAGGTTATTACTAGACTCAATTAGCTTCAGGCAGAAAGTTAACCCATCAGTTTACAGCATAGGAATAAATCTTATTTTAAAATACAGTAAGAATTCTCCTTGAACCAGTAAGAGAAGGGCTACAATAGAGTTCAAGAGCTAAGATGACCAAATACAGCAAATGTAAAACTTTTTAAAAAGAGTGGCAACAATCATTGGATTGACAAAAATAAACATGTGGCCTATACTGAAAAGCAGTAAGAACTCACTTTAAAGTAATTATCACTACTATTATTGCTCTATATTTTACTATTTGCGAACAAACCCAAGCTGACATCGTATATTTGCAAATAATTAATATTGTCAGAACAACTTTTCTGACAATACATTATGTGACAGCAGCTTTTCTTTGTGATTTTGGGAGAACCTGTGTTATTAGTGTCATCTTATAGGTGAGGCCAATACACCTGATAAAGCATCATCTCTCGAAATTAAATTATGAGAGAAGTAGCTGGCCTGTATGCAAAACTACCAATCCTGGTTCAGCATTCAGCTTAAGAGAGAGATTTCAGGGAGATGCCAGTTTCGCTAAGAATAATTTTTAACCTGAAAACAAAAAGTGTCCTAAAAAAATATATATGTTTCTTGAGTGTATTTAGTGCTCATTCATGCTGAACACTTTGATGGGTTTTGGGGGTGCTTTTGGATGCTACAGTTCTTTTCTTTCTTGGAAGCAAAACTAAAAGACGCACTCCCATATAGACATCCTCAGCCTAGGAAGAATCAAATACATGCAGGTAGAAAGTAGACCTCAAATCTAGAGAGATGAGGAGTGTCTTCAAGGCACCCACCCAGGACCTAAAGTCTTTAAGGATGGAGCAGAAACTCTGAATTGGCTTCTGTCAGTACGACCCCACCCCCAGTTCCAAATTTTCATTTTATTACTACTTCCCCAACACCCCGGAGCAGTTACTGCTGTCACAAGGGGCGGAAATACTTGACACTTGGCCTCCAGAGCGCCATCTGCGCTGCCACACCACACAGAACGCCCCTCTGCAGTTATCAGGGCCCTGGGCGGCTGACTTACCTGTCCGGGATTCTCTTCCCGAGTCCCATCACCTTTGGGGAAAGAGAAGGAGACAGAAGAAAAAGCAAAACCACTTACCACTCTGGCCCAGTCCAAGAACAACTGAAAACACCCAGGCCGCCCGGAGGAAGGGGGCAGGACCTCGGCGGCAGTTTTGCAGGCAGACAAATGCGGCAGTAAAAAAAGCCTGGTCCAAGCGGCACATAATGCACAGCAGCCCGCACCGCGCCCGCCGGCCGGCGGCTCTCCGGATGCGCGCTCGCGCCGCCCGGGCGCACCTCGGGGCCCGCGGGCCGAGAGTCGCTAGGAAGTTTCCCGCAGGCCCGGCAGGCGGCTCCCGCGGCTCCCCACTGGCGGTGCAGGTACGCCGGCCCGAGCACCGCTCTGCATCTCAGGGCCCGCTCGGCCCTCCCAGCTCTGCTCGGAGGCTCCCGAGATCTCCGCGAGAAGCGCCTCCTCCGACGGCCAGTGGCCCGGGGCGGCGGCGACGCGACCGAGGGCTCCGCAGCCCGTTCTGGGACAAAGAAAAGAGCTTTTGTTTCTCCCCAGCCGTTGGGGCTTCTGCTGCATAAATCAGCTTAGCGCAGAGCCAAACACAATCAAACCCAAACAAAGCCCGAAGCTGGGGGAAAAACCAGCCTAAAGGACATTCACTGGAGCGGCTGCCTCGGTGGGAGGGGACGCCCGCGAGGCCCACGGTGGGGGAAAAGTCGGGAGCGCATCTGTCGGTGCGAGCTTCTTCCACAGGTGGGCAGGGGTCAGATCCACCGAGTTGCCTCTTTTTTGCAGCCTGGTCAGCTGTGCAGCGGGCCAAGTCGAAGCGGCAAGGTCTTGGAGAGGAAGCGCGGGGTGCTAGCAGCCAGGGGGTGGAGGCGCCTCCGGGAGAGCCGGAGAAGCTCCCTCCAGCGCGTGCAGACACGCAGCTAGGCACCGCAACTCCCGGATCGGCTGGGAGTGGGGCGCAGCACGGCGAGCCCTGCCAGGGGAGTGCAGGAGCCCAGCCTCTCAGGGCGGGAACTGCGTGCTGGGGTCTTGGCCCTAGTGAGCTCCTTCTCGGGCGTCTTACGGTGCAGAGCCCCCGGCAAGCTGGTTCGTTCTGGGGTGCACCCGGCGAGGATGTGAGGGTGGTGAGGCCGGCCCGGGGCGAGGGAGGCGTACCCCGGAGCCCTGGAGGTGGGGGGCTCCCAAAGTGCGTGCGGGTGAGCGGGGCTCGCTCGGGGCAGCGGGTTGCTAGGAAACCGCCCCACGCTACGGAGCGCCCTGCCCAGACCGCCTGCAGGCGAGCCCGCGGCGCTGGCTCGTAGCTCAGCCCGGGCGTGGGCGGGACATTGGTAAGGCATGAAGTCACCGCGGCCCACACTCGCTCTTTGTTTTGCTCACTCCAGCTCTTTTTCTGCCCTCTTGGCTCCGAGAAGTGCTATTCCTATCATTCCCGAGCAGTCCCGAGGCGTCGCCGCGCCCCCGGAGTCGCCCGGACCCTAACCCTTTCTCCCCCTCCGCACCCCCCAAAGCTTGCTGGTCTGGCGGGTGTGCAAGACCCGCTCGGCGCTAGTGGCAGCTGAGCCCAAACCCCTGCCTCGATCCCGGGCGTTTGCAGGGGCCTTTGTTCCAGGGGGTCCTCGCTGCCCGCAGCTGCCGCCGCGCACCGAGCGCGTCCCCGGCCCGCGATTCCTCCACCCGCGGTGTTCCGGGGGTGCGCACCGTCCGATTCGCTTCCAGAGTTGGGAGCGCACCCTCGCCCCGGGCCCGAGAGTGTGTGGCGTGTCCCCAACCCCTGGAGAGTTGGGTGAGTCCGGGAGAGCTGTCCCCCCGCACTGCTGGACGGAGACTTCTCGGGGCTTCTCGGTTCAGAGACAGCATCAGTGCCAAACCTTGCTGGAGGACCTGTTCTCCCCGGGCTCTTTGGGGGGAGCCCCGGGGTTTTGTTAGTAAGCCCGGTCTTTGACCTTAAGCGGCACCTTCTTCTTTCGTAAACGGAACAAAGAAGTTCCTGAGGGCGGCGAAGCTGGGCTAGAGGAGCGGTGTTTTTGCCTGTTCGCTCGCAGAGCAGAGCAGTAGGTGCGAGCGGACGAGGCTGCTAGACTGGGCACCCCCTACCCGGCGGGGCAGTAGCTCGCCTGATAGGGTCCTGACGTTAACACCTTAGGCAGAGGGAGGGAACCCCGATTGCAAAGAAGGCTCTGCTTTCCTTCTGAGCCCCCCGGTGATGGCTCTGGTTTTCCTCTAGGGGCAGGAGTGCTTCCCCGGAGTGCCGTCTGACCGCTAGGCTTTCCAGGAGCTTTTCCAGGAGCTCTTCGGAACAGCGCGATAGGGCATTTGCCTCTTACCACACTCCAGCCAGGTCAAGGTGAAATATGAGGGACTTTCCCTGCTTATTTCATAGTTTCCTTCTCCGTACTTGGATTTCCAAAAACAAGTAGGAGACTTCTCTCTGTTCTTCCTGTTCTCTCTTTGTTAACCGAGTGGATGGAAAGTGTCTGTTTAATAAACCCGGACATCGAAAACTTAGGCTGGAACTGGCATTTGCAGCGAATTCCTAGGGAGTAGTAAAACCACCTAGCCCTAAGGCTGTTCCGACCCATTTTATGAACACAGGAACTGAGACCTGATAAGACCTTTACCTGGTGCTGGCCCGGAAGAAAAGGCTGGATCCACCTCCCTACCCCCCACCCCCACACCAAAGAGAAGCTCCAGCAGAAACAAAGGTCAGGAAATGAATATCAATGAAGACCATGACCACACCCAACTCAACCCCTTTGCAACTACTCTAGCAATAGCGTTTTACCTAGCTAGAAAGCCCCATGTGGGTCGTACCACTTGGGGAAAACCCTGTAAAAGCCACCTTGAAGAAAGAAGGGCATGCATATGATGCCCCAGCCCCAGCTGGTGTGCGCTTGTGCCCACGTGGTGGAGTACATGTTTCTCCCCCATCTCCCCTATTGAGATGTGTGTACTTTCATGCTTTTGTATCTAATGCCTATGTATGTAGGGGCTTTCTTCGCCTTTAGAGAAGCCGGTGTTTTCTCTTGAGCTTGTTACTCTCTCCCACTTTCTGTCCCTCCTTCCCCTTCCTAAACCCTCCAAATAAAAAAATCTGTTTTCATTTCACTGCTTGTCTACGCCTTAAATTCTTTTCTACGAGAAAAGTCAAGGTACTTGAAAACTCTTGTAAGGCCTAGGACTAACTTTCCTTCCCTGCAAAGAGTGTTTCCTCTCTCCAGCCAGAGTCCATGGCTTCCAGAGAAATGAGGTGGCAGGGATCAAGTCACCTGGTAGGGCTGGCTGGGCTCTGGTGCATGCCACACAGGAGCTCGTGGCAGACTTTATCAGCTCCAATCTTCCCAACCGATCCCTTGGTAGCAGAAGCAGATTGGGAGAAAATGATTGTCTCTCTCCGCCTCACATAAGCCACTCATGGGGGCCCACCAACTTCAAAATGACAAATGCTCTGGGCCTACAATGCGGGTACATTCAGAGACAAAGGGCATGATTCAAACCTGAAAATTGTTTCTTCTAAGTGCAGTTACCCTGTAGGCAAGGCGGTACTTGTTATGATGGAATCACTTGGGTAAGAGATGCGCTCCTGGAACTCTAGTTAATTGGTCATTTTAAAACTTTCCCCCACCAAATAAATATTCAGTCAAAATAGATGAAAGGATGATGGCTGGGGGCAGGACATAGAGACAAAAGGAAGCTCCCAGCTAGGGAACTCCTCTCTTTGCCTTCTCACCTATGCCCAGTAGGTAGACTGGACACCAGAGATTTTTCAGCCACACTCTGCAGCAGCGCCTAGAGACCAAGAAAATACAAAAGAACAGGGACCTGCTGGGTTGCAGCCCTACAGAGGCCAACAACAGATGAGAGAGCAAGTCCCAGCAAGGCAACACAGTTTACAGGGTTTCAACTGCAGCTTTCATGTTTAGGTATATGAATCCCGGGTAGACAATGTCATACATAGGAATATGATCAGGTCAGACTGCACTGGAGATGAACAGACAATGCAGAAATGTATAAATAGGATGTTATAATCTGGGTTGATCTTTGGGGACAAGGTGAGTGTCATGGCGCACTGGTGAAAGGAGAGGTTTGGACACTAGGGAAGGACTCAGACCCAGCTACTGAAACTGGACAATAAACTTTAACTTCTTAAGGCATCTGAGTTTTGATGCAGACATTTCATATATCACTCAAGAAATGAGGAATAAGCCCACATTTGCTGGAACATTGTTCTAAATAGATAAAATTAATTCCAGCCTCATTATTTTCTTTCCTGAGTTCCAAGTTTGAACAGCTATAGTTATGCTTTCAGTGGTTCTAAAGAAAGAGTTTGAAAAGTGGTGGGGGTGGGGATGAGGGTGTGCAGTTAGAATAAGAAAGGAAAGTATTCAGGTCCTGAATAGGGACTCCTCAATGGGGCCAGCATGTGTAGTTTGCAGATCACAGTCCAAAGGAATGCAGCACCCTGTCAGAGCAGACAACATCAATCCACAAATTTATTCTATACCATAAAAAGACTTTTTTTAAACAGAATTTCATGACATTAAATATGAATGCTGATATTGGGCTGTTACTGACAATGCCAGTGTAAAGTAAAATATAAATTTCTGCAAAATAAGAGTGTGATTTTCTGAAGCTGAAGTAGTTTCTAGTTTTTAACTTGCTCTATGTCATTGCAAATAAATTTTGCTAATATATTGTTGACACATTCTATATTCTAAGTCAAATTTTACAGTCAAAAAAAAGCAAATTACATAAATCACTTAGAGGAAATTTTGATGCCCTTTTAAAAAGAAAACCTTCAAAATTTTGTCATATGAAGCCCCTGCCAGGATGCCAGTTGTGGACTTGTTGAAGAAGAAGTCATTTACACCACTTCACACTTGGAAAGAGGTTATAATTCTGATTATCAAAATAAAGTAAGAGAATACCCTAAATGTAAGACTGTAATCTTAGCAATTTGCTCACAAGTAATTTGTATACTTTGGTCCAAAAAGATAAAATGTGAGCTCTCCTAAGCCCTGTGAATCATCTGTAGGGCTTTCTAATAATAAATGTATCTGTTGCCCAAGAACAAAGTTTGCTTGTTTCCAATAAATGTCATCAGTCATAATTTATCCTTTTTCCTATATGAAGATGTACAGATACTGTGCAAAAACTTCACATCAGTGCAGGAAGTTTCTGGTCAGGAATATGGCCATTTGATCAAGATATGGGTGTCAGGATCATTTGACCCTTTCAGGAAATAATTCAAGTACGAGTCCAAGAAATAAAGAATAGAAAACACTTATCATGGAATACTAAAAGTAGTAAGTATACACTTTACAGGCATACTTAGAGAGAGTAGCCCAGTTATCTCTAAACTTTCATATATAGGATATATAGGTATAGAAACAGAAGGATTAAATAAAGAGAATACCCTAAATGTAAGACTGTAATCTTAGTAATTTGCTCACAAGTAATTTGTATACTTTGGTCCAAAAAGATAAAATGTGAGCTCTCCTAAGCCCTGTGAATCATCTGTAGGGCTTTCTAATAATGAATGTATCTGAGATACACAAATTTTTTTAGGAAAGAAGGAAGACTCAAGGTGGAGACTTTCTGGAGTCAAGATGCCACAGTTTCTGATGTTACTTGGGTCACTTCCAGGGGTTATCAAGGCAATAGTAGACTGTTATGGCATAGGTGGGTGTGATTTTGATCCTGTAAATATGATTAGCTAGAAGTTGTCCTTTGGTCACCTGGTCCTTCATGCCAGATTCATTTGGTTATAACCAGTTTCTATAAATCTTGCTCTTCATTATTTTTAACTCTTAAGATATTTAATGGAGGTCTTCGGCTGCCGTAGCCCTGGTCGGGG